CTCCCTTCTCTTACTTAAAGAAAAGGGTGCGACGGTTGGGGAAGGCGTGGCGATTAGGGAAAGGCAAAACGACAGGGCGAAAAACCCTCTCCCTTCCCCATTTGATGCAGATAGGATACGATGGGATGCGCCCTGACCGATGAGACGCACCCTGCCCGACGGAATGGCGCCTGATCAGATAGGACGTGGCCTGGGTATGGCCCACCACTACCACATGCCGGGCACAAGAACCAAAGCGCCACCACACGCAGGCAGCTCTCCGCCTCCCCAGGCGGGACTTGAAAAAACCCAAACAACGGGATCTTCGCCAGGAGAGACCATTGGGCTTCCTAAGTTGATCGAACGGCTCAGGAAAACACCGAGAGACAGGTAAGGAGCAAAGGGATGCCCCATGTAGGCCATGCCGACTCCATCACAAACGACGAGCATGGGTCCCAGTCGGACATTTTCGATTGGAGCTCTCCAAACCCCGTCACTCGAGTCATCAAGGTAACACTACCGACCCCCACTATTTCTTTTTAGTCATTCATACGTCCATACACGCATTCATTCCATATGCCCGTGCCCCTCCGGACGATTCGGGCCCTGAATCGCCCGGGGGCTCGGGAACTAAGGCATAGCACATGCGTCTAAATGCATCACAACACTCCGTGTTACGTCACGAAGCGGCAGCTGCCTCATTCAAACATGAGCAACGACCGACCGGGGTTCGAAGGCCGGCCCACGAAGGGCTCGAGGCCGCCTTGCGTCAAACAGAGTTAGGGGAGAAAACGTAGATGAGCCCCGTGCGGCCGTCGCCCAATCTGCCCTGAAGCAGACAGGGTCATCTCAACCTTCTCGTTCAATCCTAAACCTCTGCCGAACCCACAGAATCTCCATCGAAGGGGAGGTCAGCGGGCCACCCGGGTCAGTCTCCGGAACGACCTAGGCATATGTCGGGTTGCATGTTAATGAGCAGTGGAATGCCACAAGAGGGCTATGCCGACCCCAGATTTCACTCGATCATACCCGTTAGCGAGCTCACCGAGCGCGTCACTCAAGCCCTCGCCCTCGGGCAAGCGACAAAACTCAGTCCCTCCGGTTGTGAGAAACCGAGGACGGGGTAACGCACAAAACTCAAAATTGACCCCTACCAAGCCCAACGGGGCTCAAGGGCTCAAGACACCCCAAAACACCTAGGTCTACGACCCCGAACTCGCCCCATCCCTCGGGTACACCTGCACGCCAAAAAACACCTAGGTCTAGGACCCCGAACTCGCCCCATCAGGATCCACGACTCCGACTCGCCCGATCCCACGGCGTGCACCGACGCGAGGGTCCGTGAGCTCTGTCTCGTCTGATCCCTAAACTAACTGCCTCGGCTGCGTGGGCTACACCGACACCTGGGTCTGTGACCCCGAACTCGCCCCATCAGGATCCACAACTCCAATTCGCCTGATCCCACGGCGCGCACCGACGCCAGGGTCTACGAGCTTCGTCTCGTCCGATCTCTAAACTAACTGCCTTGGCTATGCGGGCTGCATCGACGCCTGGGTCTGTGACCCCAAACTCGCCCCATCAGGATCCATGACTCTGACTCACCCGATCCCACGGCGCGCACCGACGTCAAGGTCTGTGAGCTCCGTCTCATCCGATCCCTAAACTAACTGCCTCGGCTACGCAAGCCGCACCGACGCCTAGGTCTGCGACCCTAAACTCGCCCCATCAGGATCCACGACTCTGACTCGCCCGATCCCACAGCGCGCACCGACGCCAGGGTCCGCGAGCTCCGTCTCATCCGATCCCTAAACTATCTGCCTCGGCTACGCGGGCTGCACCGACACCAAGATCCACGACTCTGACTCGCCCGATCCCACGACGCGCACCGACGCTGGGATCCACCAGCTCTGTCTCGCCCGATCCCTAAACTAACCGCCTCGGCTGCGCAACGATGCCTTGGTCGACGACTCCATCTCGACTAAAAAAACACGCACACACGCCCGCTGAAAAAACCCCTAGACGATTCTGCCCGAATCACCCGGGGGCTCGGGGGCTACACCCACGGGTGCGCTCGCGCGCACCCGCTGATGAAACAAAAACTTTTCCCGCTAGCAACACGAAAATCCCCGAGACGATTCTGCCCGAATCGTCCGGGGGCTACACCCGAGGGTGCGCTCACGCGCACCCGCCGTCAAGACAAAAATCCCCCAGACGATTTTTCCCAAATCGCCCGGGGGCTCGGGGGCTCCTGTCGGGTTCATAAACCCGGGGTCCCTCGTAGACCGGCTTCCCAACAAAGGCTCGGCCCAAGCAGACAACGCGTAACTCATGGGCCGGCCAAAGTACCTAAACGACAGGCCAGAGGGGCGATCCAATCACTGATCGGAAGGCCTAGCCGAGGAGGAACGGCGTCCGCTTTCGACTCCGGTCCGCCTCTCCGACCGGAGCGCTCACTTCGGTCTCCAGCCCGCCTCCGGACGACTTCTTCGACCGGAAAGCCTAGCCAAACACCGCTTCCGACTCCGACACGTGTCTCCGGCCGGGGATGCGCCAAATCCCTGCTCACAGCTCTTCTCCAACTGGCGCAATCAGAGCCGACTAGGACCAACCGATCAGGGACGCTCGCTTGGTAAGGACCAGGAAACAGACGGAGAAAGTAAGACAGGGCGCACAAGTCAAACCGTAATACTGAGGACCATACCCTGTACACCTGCTGGACCGTACTATGCGACCTCTCTTTCACGACAGAACCCAAGCAGTGTCGTAGACGTCGACATTTTTCCCTACAGTATTGTGGGCGCCATTAACTCTCATACGGTAAGGCTCCCCCCACATGTCTCTGGACATCGACAGTGTTGTGGGCGTCGACATTTACTGTACCAGGCAAACATGGTAAAACCCCTTGCACGCCCCCAAGTATCAACAGTGTGGCTGGCGCCGACGTCTGCCATACCTGAAGAAGACAACACAACCTCCCACGTCCATCTAAGATTGAACAGTATTGTGGACGCCTACCATCATCTCGTACCCGCCGGCATGGGCAACAAGATTTAGTAGCATACGCACTCACCCTGTCACCTATAAGGCCATCCCCTTCATTTATAAAAGGGGACGCGCTATCTCCAACACAACTCAGTTAGAGCAGATTCATCAGATCGATCAGTTCACTAGCACATAACAACAGAACCACCGGGGACAAACCTGGCACACGCTTGAACACTTAGCACATAGCGGAGTTTCCGGTCCCTTAGACCAGAGTCCGACCGGACCTCTTGTACCCTCCATCTTTCTCCTTCCCATTTGTAACCCCACTGCAAACTTTAAGCACCTGGGCTCAGAAATAAAATCACCGACCGACTCAAACTAGACGTAGGGCATGTTGCCTGAACCAGTATAAACCCTATGTCATTGAGTGCTAGGCCATCTCCGATCACAACGTACGGCAAAACTACAAATATTTACGTGTTTGTCACTTTCTGCACCTACACCGATGTAATGCCATTTTTTCTTCCAAACGTAATTACGTAATATACGTTTTTACATATATAAACGTGCGCACATATGTAAATACACACTCTGTCGCTCCTATAAATATACATCTGAGGAATCATGCCAACAGATCTTAAGACAAAGTCACGACAAACACGACTGACGAGGATCCCGTCAAGTTGATAAATTTAAATCTAAATAGACTGATTTTGCTAAAAAATAAAATCTTGCATCATTTATTTAAAGTTAATCAATAGTATTTTTTAAAAAAAATTACTGTGTTGTACTGGACTAAGTTTACGATGAACATACCCATTTGTATTTAATTAAATCCTTAATTTAGCATATATGCTTGCATTTTTCTAAAATTATTATACTGACTTAACAATATTTGTTCTTTTAGTGGTAGATAATATGCTTGTTGGTAGCGAGTTGCCTACAATAATTTCGTCAATGTCAAGAACCTAAAATGTGTCGGCTTAGTTTTTCTTGAAGTATAGTCGGCTCAGTTTTTTAAGGTGCGGGTTGCTTATGTTGATAGGGGTCAACATTTACCTACTATATTTGAAAAAAAAACCCTATGGCATACACTTAAATTATTGACATGAATTTTCGTTGCTTCAAGGCAAACTAACCGACAGCCAGCAGGTTATTTTCATGCACTCTCAAGTCTGAGTCTCATGCCTCCCTCTCTCTAAAAAAAAAGGAAGTCTGAGGCTCACGCACTCCTCACAAAGTCACACCACACCACACCACACCACACCAGATGCGACCTGCTTTCTACACATAAAAACTGATCGGGCTTTCGGGCACTTGCCTGGGTACCTGTACCAATTTCCACCCCGGGCACGGGACGCCCCTATCCTCATCCAACGGTCAATCGCGTACGTCCACCGAATCCGACGGCCAACAGAGCGCGTGGCCCCTCTCCGCCTGCTCTATATACCCGGCCCACCAGGCCCCCGCTCCGTAGTGCTGCGCACGTCAGTTGCTCCTCCACCTCCACCTTTTCTCTTGCTCTTCCTGCCCTCGGTTTCTGGTGAGTTCGACGATTCTCTTCTCGTGGACTCGCCTTGACTGCGCCTCGAATTGCCTGGGTCTGATGCGGGCTCTGTGCTAGATCTGCCTGTTTCGGCGCGTTCGTAGATGTAATCCGTTTTCAGCCGATTTATTTTTGCGATTTCCAAGTAGTTTTGTGCTTTTTTTTTCGAAAAAAAAGGGTTCAATTCTGTTGGGCATGGTCGCATGGACTCCCCGGGTTTTGAGGTTTTTGTTCGTCCAGTATCGAGTTCGTCGGCGGCTTTGATCCTCGATCGATCCGATCTTGTGAGCATTTTATTAGACGTTGTAAACTCCGCTCGCAACCGCACCGAACTAATCGTTGCAGTATCAGTTAGGAGCAGTCCTTTCGTTCCAGCGATTTCCCCATTGAAGGATTTGTTCGATCCAACCACCCCTGAAGTCTCCTCACTCCCTAGGCTAAATCCGCTGCTTCTCGTTGGCTCCGCCTTCGATTGCCGCAGATCGCGACCATGGGAACCCGCGGCGTCGCCCTGGTGCTCCTCGCGGCGGTGCTGCTCCAGGCGCTCCTCCCCGCGCCGGCGGCGGCGGAGGGCCTGGTGCGGGTCACGCTGAAGAAGCAGCCCGTCGACCAGAACAACCGCGTCGCCGCGCGCCTCTCCGCTGAGGAGAGGCATCGCCTCCTCCTCCGCCACGCCCTGGGCTCGGGCGGCGACGACTCCGACGTCATCGCGCTCAAGAACTACATGAACGCGCAGTACTTTGGGGAGATCGGCGTTGGCACGCCGGCGCAGAAGTTCACCGTCATCTTCGACACCGGCAGCTCCAACCTCTGGGTGCCGTCCTCCAAGTGCTACTTATCGGTGCGCCCTCGTTCATTCCTTCCCTTGCCTGGTCGAGGTTTTTTTTCCCAGGGTTTGGATGTGTTTTGTGCGGAGACTGAAGTGTGTTTTTGTGCTGATGTGATGCAGATTGCTTGTTATTTCCACTCGCGCTACAAGTCAGGGCAGTCAAGCACTTACAAGAAGAACGGTTTGACTCTTTACTTTTTTTTCTTTTCTCGTTACTGTATTTTCCCGATTTGCTCATTGTGGACTGAGAGATCTGCGTTGCTTTTGTCATATATTTTTCTTTCCCAATCTGGTGCCCCATGTTACATGATCGTGTCATATTAAAATCCGTGTTCTTATGAAGGAAACACACACACACCATATACGTTGAAAATATGATAAGATGTGGAAAGCTAAACTTATATGTCGGGGATCATAAGTTAAATGCCTTGTGGGCAAAAAAGTTCCGAGCTAGGAGATTAGGTCCAAGCACCATACCTAGAACAGACGCATGGTCATGAATTAATGCTAAATTTACTCTGTTTGAGCAGAAACACAAATTTTCTTTTCAGTTCTAACATCATGAATTTCCCTTTTTATTTTTGCTCATGTATTGCTAGTAGTGTAAATCTTACTTTGCTTTGTAGGTCTGCTGCATGCCCTACTTTGTGGTTCTAGAATATTTACGATGAAACAGAAAATTCATCATGCATGTTAGCAACATGAAAACAAAATATGTGTTAGCTTGGTTATTGCAACAACTATGAAAAGGATGTTAAAAGCACCTGATGTAGATGTAGTGCAAATTGTGTAGATGTAGCACTGTGGAGCCAGGATTCAGGAATGATGATGACAGATTACAGTAGCTGTCTTTTTTGAGCTTGATTATGACTCCTCGAATTCAATTGAAACCTAGAAGTTGGTATAGTAATAACTTCAGCGTGTGACTCTAGCACACCTTATGCTGGAAATAGTCGCCTTATTTTTCTTGTAGTATGGATATTGAAAGGTTTGTCTCTTCTTGGAATGTATATGGCCTTGTTTTATCATGCTGCTCATTATTTTCAAAAAAAAAAAAAGAAAACCTTTTAGTCCCAAGCAAATTGAGGTATGCTAGAGATGAAACCCAACATGAGCCACCGATAATGTAAAATTAAAAAGAAGATAAAAAGCATAAAGAATCCAGCTCTTCATATTGGGCATTTATGTATGCTATTTGTTTGCTTCTGGACATTGACACCTCATGTCTGCAGGAAAACCTGCTGCCATTCAATATGGAACTGGTTCAATTGCTGGTTTTTTCAGTGAGGATAGCGTTACATTAGGTGATCTGGTTGTGAAGGATCAGGTTAGTGCGCACTTGTATATGTTTATTTGTATGAAACAGTGCTCTTATGTATATGTTATAATATGTGTTCGGAATTCATTTATTGCATCTCTCTGGTCACATCAGTTCCACTTGGAAATAATAAATATTGTGTTGCTTTATTAGGAATTTATTGAAGCTACAAAGGAGCCAGGCCTTACCTTCATGGTTGCAAAATTTGATGGCATTCTTGGGCTAGGCTTTCAGGAAATATCTGTTGGGAATGCAACACCAGTGTGGTAAGCTTTTTGTGGCCGTCAAAGTTCAGATTGTTTAATCACTTGTCTTTCAATTACAGTAAAAGCAATGATCGTTCCTTTGTGCATCTAGCTTTAGCTGCTGTTAAGATTCTTTCAGTAACTCGAGGTTTTTTTTTTCTCGAACACTGTAACTCAGGGTCGTCGTGGTTTAGTTGCTCATAACACATGGTATCTACATTAATGGCAGCATGCTACATATTTCCTGGTTATTGTTGTGTAAAACAAAAGGTCATCTTTCTGCATTAAGAGTTCTTGTTCCCTTTTTCTTGTGATGCTTATATTTGTAAAGCGTTTTCTGGGGTATCTTATGTGTTCCCATGCTATGTAGTTAGATTTTGCTGTATCTAGTAAGAATAGTAAGATATGTGATTATGGTCTTGTACAACTTTGTTACATATTGGTTTGCAGTTTGGGAAATATGATTATGATAATACTTTGCACATCTGGTCCCTAATAACAAACAAATTGCAGGTATAACATGGTAAAACAAGGTCTCATCAGTGACCCTGTTTTCTCCTTCTGGTTTAACCGACATGCTGATGACGGAGAAGGTGGTGAAATTGTGTTTGGTGGAATGGATTCTAGCCACTACAAGGGTGATCACACGTATGTCCCAGTCACTCAGAAGGGATACTGGCAGGTTGGTTTTGTTTCTTGTATTCTCGAATAATTTCATTTTTCGAATGTATGTCTCAGTTTAAAGTGTACAATTTGTTGATGCAGTTTAACATGGGCGATGTCCTTGTTGATGGAAAGTCCACTGGTACTGCAATGTTTCTCTCTTTGTTATTCTAATCTCATGTTGATGAGAAATATAACTAAATGCGACATCAATCATTATCAGGGTTTTGTGCTGGCGGTTGTGCAGCAATCGCAGATTCTGGAACTTCCTTGCTTGCTGGCCCCACAGTAAGTTTTGAGTTTTGTGTTTTTTTTTATCTGCAATAACAATGATGGGATTCACCATTTTGCGATTGAAGCAGCTGCTTAGTTTTTTTTGTCTGTTTGGTTATATTTTATATATAACAAAACCTTTGTATAAATGACCTGATGATCCTTGTTGAATGAAAAATGTAGTTGATGCTATCATGTCTGCCTAAAAATGGCCACCTTGCTACTTATATTACTGTACGATCATACCATGGCCTTGTTGAGTGTTGACAAATTGATAGTCTCAGGTGCTTAATACTTCGATAGCTAAAACAGTTTGGAAATTAGACTCAGTTAGATGTACCGGGTTGGCTCCTGGACACTTTAGCCTTTGTTTTTTTTTTAATAAGACTGTCTTTTTGTACCATCTTGTCTCATATGTATATCATTTGGCGAGGATGATTTCAGCAATACCAAAACTCTATGTAATTTTGCAGCTTAATTGGGAGAAAACAGCACTTGCATTTGATGCACTTAACTTTTGATATTTGCCTAGGTGGTGATGAATCTATGATCATCACTCTCCTTTTTCTGCATTTTGTGTTCAATCCTGTGGTGCTCACATAAAATGTCTGGGTGGTGATTTGAGTCTGATTATCATTCCCTGCTTTTCTGCATTTTGTGTTCCACCCTGTGTTGCTCCGGTGCTTACAAGTTAATATGATCAATGCAGGCCATAATTACTGAAATCAATGAAAAGATTGGTGCTGCTGGTGTAGTCAGCCAGGAGTGCAAGACTGTTGTTTCTCAATATGGACAACAGATCCTAGATCTTTTGCTAGAAGAGGTTTGTGTATTGAACTATGGATTTGCTTTTCTGGTTGCTGGTTTGGTCAGTTGCTTTTGAAACTCTTGAGGTAACTCAACTTGGTATTGGGATATTTTGCAGACACAACCAGCGAAGGTCTGTTCTCAGGTTGGTCTGTGCACTTTTGATGGCAGTCATGGTGTTAGGTGAGGACTGTAAACAATCTCTATAGTTACATACTGTTTGATGTACTCATGATAACGATAACCATCTGGGCATCCCGTCTCATATTATGGTGTCACTGTAGCTCATTTCTTCCTTTGTTATATGCTATGCAAACATAGTGCTGGAATTCGGAGCGTAGTGGATGATGAAGCTGGGAAATCAAATGGTGGTCTCAAGAGTGATCCAATGTGCAACGCCTGTGAGATGGCTGTGGTATGGATGCAGAACCAACTTGCCCAGAACAAGACACAGGAGCTCATCCTGAACTACATTAATCAGGTGAGGTTAACTGACTTTGAGCGCAGAGTGTTTATGTACCACATAGTACTCTACTTTGTTTAACTGTTTCACTATGACAGCTTTGCGAGCGTCTCCCTAGTCCCATGGGAGAATCAGCCGTGGACTGTGCCAGTCTTGGGTCCATGCCTGACATTGCGTTCACCATTGGAGGCAAGAAGTTCAAGCTGAAACCAGAGCAGGTGTGATCCCTTCTCCATTATCACTCTCTCAGCTCTTGATCCTTATTAGCCCAACCACCCCCTTTTGCCATCGTGTTGCAGTATCTGAACTTGACTCTCTCTCTCTTTGGTTATGCAGTACATTCTGAAGGTTGGTGAAGGACAAGCTGCTCAGTGCATCAGCGGATTCACTGCTATGGATATCCCACCACCTCGTGGCCCCCTCTGGTAAACTATGCACCGCTAAGCTCCTGATCCTGGCTCGCAGGATTCTTAATATTTGCGCATAACGTTTGGACACTATTTGCAATTCCAGGATCTTGGGTGATGTTTTCATGGGAGTCTACCACACTGTCTTCGACTATGCCAACCTGAGGGTTGGCTTCGCAGAGTCGGCCTAAGGATGGTTTGACGCTTCGTCCCGAGGCAAACGCATGCGCCGAGAGAGAAGCTTAGCTTGTTTTTAACTTGTGTGTTTATGCGGCCGGCGATGTGTGTATATATGCTACTACATGTTTAGTGATGCTTTCTGAGACCTGAGACAACGCCCATCTGTTTTAACCTGGCGCAAGAATATTTCTGGATATATTTGCCATCGTGGTTCGGTGTCTTGTACTGAATTGTTGCCGTGCACCCTAGCAACGTGTACTTCAAGAAATATTTTCCTTGTGTTATGCGTGCGATATGTGCACTGACCCTGGTATGCTTTATGGCAGCAGTTAATCTGCGATATTGACGCTTTGGCTGATGATGTATGGTACGTCGCTGAAACATATTTCCAAAATTTACAGGCCTACATTCTGTACGCACAGTGGGATCATATTGCGTCAGCATCAGATTGATGACTGGTTTTTGCAACTTCTTTGGTATATAGAAAGTGGGGTTTTCTTGGTAACGAAGGTATACTTAACCAACGGGGAGAGGGAGAACGCTCAGCAGTCAAAACTTTTCACATATTTTTTCTTGAAATGGTTGAGAACATAACTTCGCATGACTTAACTACGGCCTTGCGCAATGGGAAGCATATTTTTTTCTTGATGAAATGCTTAACAGCAAAACTTTGCACGACTAACTACGGCCTTACTGAGTACGCCATTCGACCTCTTATAACTACTTCCTCGATCCGGCGACGGGCTAGTCACTGATCTACGGATCTCATGCCACATCGTACACATGGGGGTTTGGTTTTGGTTCGAGGACTCACTTCCACTCAACTCAATTCTAGACGAGATGCTATATCATGAGTCCATTCCTCAAATTTAGTTGAACGACTATTTTTCATACTAGCACTGATTATGGACTTTTGAGGAATAGAGTGACGATGAATCTACTCGTTCCATTCTAAAAACCAAACATGAGTAGACGATGGATTAGACCATTCCTCAAACAAAACACCCTCTAAGCCACTCATCCCCTTTCACTCTTTTGTTGTTACGCACAATAATGTCCTCTATGAAGTACAACAGTCGTATTAACCACAGGAAAAACGATGCTCCAGCTTAAGTCAATCCCAAGCTAATACTTCCTCCTCAAAATAGCACGCTCAATAATGTCCTCTATGGGGTACAACAGTCGTGTTAGCCCCCGCAAAAATGATGCTCCAGCTTAAGTCAATCTCTAAGCCAATACTTCTCAGAATAGCATGGTACTCTCTTATGAAAAAGAAGTTGAGACATGATTTTGCATGGTTTTTTATGCATATCTTTTGGTCAGTAATGGCTTTTCTAGATTGTACTGTTGCAACTGTTTGAATTTATGAGATTTTGTAATTATTTTACTATACAATTGTACATATACATCTTTCAAGTTCTCAAAGTAAATAATTTACAAGTTATTGATATTTATAGTATTTAAAGTTTGATAAAATCTTGTCCTAGATGACATGTTATTATGACCGAATTACCGAAGTGATGCAACGACAGCTAATCACACACTCTCTCTATCCTTTTTGTTGTGAGGACATTTTTCCTGGCTCATCATACGTCATCGTGTTTGGACGATGAATCAACTAGAGGTCCGTGGTTGGCCAAAAAAACGCTTCTTGACCCCTTTGTCGGCATTGTCTCGGAGATGGCGCACCACATCCTTATGGAATGCCGTTTTTTTAGCAATCTTATGGAATGTTGTTATTCTAGGCACATCTGTAGTTGCATGCCATCTGGTTATCCCTGCCTTAACTTGAGCCGTAGTTACCCTCTTCCGCCTCCGTCAAGGGTTTGTGGATGACCGTTGGGTCTTTGCCTGGGATCCCACGGAAGAGTCTCCGTTCCCTCTTGCTTCTAGTAAATGGGACTATATGGGAGATTTGCAAAGAGAGGACTTCATGCACATTTTAGCGAAAAGAATCGTTGGCGCTAGACCTCGTCCAAAAGATCAAAGAAGAGGCAGGGACTTGGGTTTAGCTGGTGCAAAGTTTTTGACCGTCTTGATTGTTAGCCATTAGTTTCCTTTTATGCATATAGTTTGTTATCTTGTATCTCAATTTTGTTTCTTTAGGTGTCCTCTCAGGGTTATCTACTTGTGTTTTCCCTGCAATGTTAATAAAAATGATATGGGTGCTTGTTCGTTCAAAAAAGACGTGCACAAAATAAATGTACAAAGGATTTGTTTAGTTTAAACTCCGACAACCTTGTCTAACATTGCGTGTGCTCCCGGCGTCAGATTTCGGGCACTTGGGCTGCAGACCAACCAAACGACATAATCCGTATCCGTAGTCCCATGGAAAATCATTGAGATGAGTTTTTTTTTTTTTTTAAAGTCAAAACCGATGGTCCGTGTGACTGGTGGTGCAGCTGCGCATTAGCTCAGTCAATACTCAATACCTGAACTGAAACTACATGGTCCCGAACTCCCGATCCCAGAAACGGCAGAGCGCGACGACGCACGGTCGCACGCGCTGGTCGCTAGTCCATGCAGCCCAGGAGCCAGTAAATGGCAGTCACGCAGCTAACCTGACCATTTCCTCGGATCAGGAGCTGACCTGACCACCGCCCGTCCACGACCTGACCACCACCCTTTTCTCCCTCCCAGTCATTCACTCATTCCCCATGGACTGGGGACATCCGGACCTCGCGACCTCGCGAGTGCGTGCGCGACTGGGGCCGAGGCGACCGCGCGCACGCATTGACGCGCGGCTGCATGCATTGCATTGCCATCCTCCTCTCCCCACCGCCAGTCGCCCAGTCCGCCCTGCCCTGCCCAGGTGCCCCCTGGTCAATGGTCACCAGCACTGCCTATAAAGATGGACTCAGATCGGTGAGCCCAGGGCCAGGCCTCGCCACGTGTGCGCCCCCCCCGGTCCTTCTTATACGCCCCTGCCCTGCCGTCCCCGTTCCTCTCCACCGATCTCCCCTCCGTCCCCGTCCACCCCCGCTCCCTCGCCCGTCGTCGTCGTTACCTCATCATGGAGTCCTCCTATCTGGGAAAGCGCAGGATGAACGGCGGCGCCGATAGGGAGACGCCTAGGGCGCCCGCTGCGTTCCTCCCGGCCGCCGCGCTGGGGTACGAGTGCGGCCACGCGGAGGCGGCCCACCACCTGCCCCGTCGGGTGGCGGCGGGCGAGATGGACTTCTTCAAGAAGGAGAAAAGGGAGAGGAAGGACGCCGCCGCCGCCGCCTTTGTGCCGTCGGACGAGCACGGCATCAAGGAAGACGACCTCACCATCAACGTACGTAACCCCCTTTGCTCGCGAATCGATTCAAATTCCTTTTGCTTTTCCTCCCATCCCCTCCTAGTCTGTCGGATCGGCGGTTTTCTACTTTTCCCTGACGCGCGCGGCTGGTCGGCCCGGCCGGCTCGGTTTTCAGATGGGTCTGCACCACGTCGGCGGGAAGAAGAGCAGCATCAGGAGCGAGGAGTCCACCGTCGACGACGTCGTCTCCTCCGACAACGTCGATCACAGGGAGACCAAAGCTGAGGTGAGCGAAATAAATCACCAACGAGCCGTGATCCATGCATTTGCCTAGTTTCTAGTACTTGACTGTGAATACATACCATCACTCACTGCCTGTTCTTGGAAATTAAACTCGATTTCCAGCCTGTTCGTTTGGCTGTGGCGTATCGTAAACGATCGTAAATTTTCAACCGGAATAGTATTTTTCTCTCACACAAATCAGATCAGATGCGCCAATTCTGCACGCAAGTTTAGTCAAACCTTAACTGGCCTCAGTCCCATGTGGATATGGCTACGACTAGTCCACTACCAGACACACACTGTAGATACTAGATATAGAGAGAAACAAACAAAATGAAAAATCTTATTTATTCCTTTTGTTTAGTCTCTCTTGTTGTATTACATTAGTACTAAATAAATGTGTATTTATATGACCAGCTGGCACTGGCAAAATCCGAGCTTGGGCGCCTGAACGAAGAGAACAAGCAGCTCAAGGACTTTGTCAGCAGGCTGACCCTCAAGTACAATGCTTTCCAGATGCAGATGCCGGTCTACACTACACTGCTGCAGCAGCAGCAAAGGACCAATAACCATCGAGCCCTTCTTCGCGGAGCTCCAGGCCATGAGGTAAACTCGATAGTCAATAACGTACGTACGTACCAGATCCTCGAAAGGACGGGCGTCGTCGATCCATGCATGCATCCATCGAGTAGCTAATGTAAGCGAGGCAACGTCTGACCGGTCGAGACTGTTGTTGTGTTGCGACTTGCTGCGATCGTACCATCATGTTCATGTCACCACCAGCTGATGAACGTCGTTCCGGAGACGAAGGACCAGGAGGGGAGCGGCGGCGGCCACCTGCTCCCGCGGCAGTTCATCAGCAGCATCGGCACCGCCCCCGACGACCCGCTGCACTCCATGGGCTCGTACGCAGTGCGCGGCGGCGACAGCTCGGGGTCGACCAGCAACGCGGAACCGCCGCCGCCGCAGCCCTTGGACTACTGCCCTGGCAACGGGCTCATGGTCAGCGGCAAGGACCTGATGCCGCTGCCGGCGTTCGAGCACGGCCACCAGCAGCAGCACCTCGCCCACGAGATGGGTAGCAGCAGCCGGGCGGATGAGCCGCCGCAGCCGCACCACCTGGCGGCGCAGCAGGGCTGGCTCTCCAACAAGGTGCATAAGTTCCTCCCCGCCAAGGGCCCCGAGCCCGTCCCCGAGGCCGCCACCATGCGCAAGGCCCGCGTCTCCGTCCGGGCCCGCTCCGAGGCACCCATGGTACGCTAGGCTGCCAGTGTTCGCTTCTGAGTTCTGACTGTGGACTGCTACTGAGTTGTTGCTGAAAATGAAATGTTTGTTCTTGATCGTACGCAGATCAATGATGGGTGCCAATGGAGGAAGTACGGGCAGAAGATGGCCAAGGGCAACCCTTGCCCCCGCGCGTATTACCGCTGCACCATGGCTGCCGGCTGCCCGGTCCGCAAGCAGGTATGCTGTGCTGCTGAACGATGGGTCGATCGAGCCACAAGTTGGCAGTAGTGGTCGGTGGAGTCGTCTGAACATTTTGGGTTCGGCACGTTGTTGATCATGCATGTGCGGTGTGTGATGGCAGGTCCAGAGATGCGCCGAGGACACGACGGTGGTGATCACGACGTACGAGGGGCACCACAACCACCCGCTGCCGCCGGCGGCGATGCCGATGGCGTCGACGACTGCGGCGGCGGCGTCCATGCTGCTGTCCGGGTCGATGCCGAGCGCGGACGGCGGCAGCCTGATGGCCGGGTCCAACTTCCTGGCGCGCGCCGTGCTGCCGTGCTCCTCCAACGTCGCCACCATCTCGGCGTCGGCGCCGTTCCCCACCGTGACGCTGGACCTCACGCAGCCGCCCCCGGGCGCCGCCTCCGCCACCGCGTTCGCGCAGCCGGCGCCGGCGCAGGCGCGGGCGACGGGGACGGAGCCCTCCCAGCTCCAGGCCGCGCTCGCCGACGCCGCGGGCCGGCCGATGCCGCTGACGACGCAGCTGTTCGGGCAGAAGCTGTACGACCCCTCCTCCAAGGCCCCCGCCCGCAGGCGGACGCGGCGGGCGACACCGTCAGCGCGGCGGCCGTGATCGCGTCCGACCCCAACTTCACCGCGGTGCTCGCGGCGGCGATCAAGTCGTACATAGGCGGTAGCGGCAGCGGCAGCAACGGCGCCGGCGGGAGCAGCGCCGGCGATAGCAGCAGAGACGACAAGGTTGGGGAGCAGGGGAGCTGACGTGATCGCCTAGCGACACGATCGTCCGTTTGCTTGCTTGCTTGCTCGCCCGATTCCAATTTTGTTCCGCTCTTGAGAGTTTGCTTTAGTTAGTTAATTATCTCTTGCGTAGTTGAGTTCCCTCAAACTTTTGCGTAGTTGAGAGTTTGCTTCAGTTTCGTCTCCTCGAGGTAGGAGACGAAAATTTTGCTCTTTCTTTTTACTCCCCTGGGGCGTTTTTTATGGCAGCAAGTGGAGTACCAATTTTGTTCTGGCTACAACTTTTAGTTACAGATCATCTCTAAGACTCTTTCTTGAGCCCACTCTCTAAATCATCGTTTAGAGAATCATTTATATAAAAATTATTTCTTTATTTTTGCATTTTTCAATAGTTTTTGTTATCTTTGACTCTAGAAAACCATTCTTGTTTTCTATCTTTGTCTAGCGAAAAATTCGAAATAAGAGATGGCTATATTTGGATATTCGAATAAAAGATGGCTATATTTGGATAACCAATTGAAAAGTTTGTTACATGATATTTTTCATCAAAATCTCTATTCCTGATAATTATGAAGAATTTAGAGAGTCTCTTAGACTTGCTCTTTTTTCGTGGAAGAAAAGTAGGTGCTCTCAACCTGTCACCATTTTGTTGTTTCGGTGCAAGCAGTGTTATTCTTTTGTATAAACCGATGTAATAAGGACAGAGTTTTTGGTAGTTGTCGAGAAAACTAAGATTGCTGGATTCAACTCTTCACGATGCCGATCCGCCTTGTACCTTTCTTGATTCATGAACGTATGATTGTCATTAGATATTCAAATTTAGACATAATTTTAACCCAGAAACAAAAGATTTGTAATATCATAATGTGCTTGTATGATCTACTCGTATTTGCAAAGACGATGGTCAACATACTGAAAACAAATACAAATCCAACAAAAACAAAGGTATACCACGAGACGATCGCAATGCGTAGAGTATTACTAGTTGACATAGTAAGTTGCGCAGTCCCTCGAACGTCCTCCAGAAAGTAGTCATTTGCTGGTCGCCGGAATAATGTCGAGAAGTAGAGGTGAGAGCTGGATCGTCTGAATGTCGCCGGGAAGTAGACGCGTGCCTCCACCGCCAGGAACACGAGCAGCCATGCGAAATGTGCTCATCGTCCGCACACCCGAGTAGGTGTCACAGTCGGTTTCAGAGCCTACTCTCCAGATTTATGTGCACGCAGAAGCCGGAACGGGAACGCTCAGAAGCAACAAAAACAACAACAGCAAAGATTGAGGCGTGGTGCTTCTGGATTGTCGTACGCACGAGACTTAGGCATTTAGCTTCTTTTGTGCGCAAGTAGAGGAGTAGGGAGACGGGGAATGCACTTGGATGCTAACGGCGTTACCAAGATGGAGTAATCGTATAGAGTAACGGACAGAAACTCTAGAAACGTTTGTCCCGTAGTATCTCATTTGATGGCTCCATCAATCATCCCAAGTGGCAAAACCTAGCCCTCCTCGCGTTGTGGATGTAGAGAAACAAGAGGAGACATGGAGAGCAGTCTATGTCGGTCAAGAAAGCACTCCAGTGGGCAGCGGATATGGCCTTTGATTTGTGGCGGCTCGCGCAAGTGCGCAACCCTTGATGGTGACCACGGTAAGGAAAGCTAAGCCGTGCTGGGAGCGTCCGCCGTCCGGTTGGCTGAAATGCAATGCTGAAGATTTGCTTTCTATGAAGATCATTGGCAAGGAGCAACGAGTGCCGTGATTCGAGATGACAATGGTGCCTTTCTCAGGGGCAGCGCTAAGTGGTACGCAAACAGTCTTGATGCACTAACCATGGAGGCACTTGCGTGCCGAGATGGGCCGGTGCTAGCGGCTATGCCTGGAAACTGATTGCCAAGAGCTTCTGAAATTGTGGTTTGCAGGCGAGAATCAACGCTCTAGCGTGGTGTCGATCTTGAAGGAGATCCGAGAGATGAGCACTTTGTTCCAAGCTTTTTTTTTTTGAAATCATTGTTCCAAGCTTTTTGTTTCTCTTTCATTAAATAGAACTTGTAACAAAGTAGCACATGTATTAGTTAAGTAGGTCATAGGTTGGGTGGTGGCTTCAGATACCGACCTGTATCTCGGTTTTGTGTTCTCATATATATTGTAATCCCGGGATTGAACAATGAATGAATCTCCTAGTAAAAAAAAAAAAGAGCCTATACCATCACGCTCACAGCTTAGCACACGTGTACGTGTAACACGCTCCTCGTCTCTCTCAACTTCACAACATACACACAAGCCACATTATTGGAGTTAGCATTTAGTTAAAATGCAAGACTTTAATGCACTTAACATTTAATATATACGAGCATTAGAATTTATTTGTTAAAATGAAATTAATAATAAAATAAGCCCAGTTAAAATCCACCATCGTTGACTAGGTGCTAGCGGCTGCTGCTGCTGAGCCGTGTCTGGTGTCAACGTGCATGCTATGGAACTTTGAACATGGTGTGGCCAGGCTAGATGCCAACACAACGCATGGCGCGAAGTCAATTTCGCGCCTACGTTGCCTCGGTCACGCTTTGACATTAGCTAGCTAGCAAGATTGTATAATACTCCTACATACATGTATATGGTCCTGTGCACGGACAGGCACGTCGCTCAGTAGTCGTAGCTGCTGCAGCTGATCTCGTCACATGACTAGGATCGGCGAAATTTGGCTCGTTTGTTTCGCTAAAATTCAGCTTATGCTGATGGTTAACCACCGATTCTACAGGCGTTAGTTAGATAGAAGAAGGATCAACTCCTTTAGTTAGTTAGTTGTAAGTCAAACTGCTAGTGCTTGTGTCCTATTCTCTAGCTGATCCTGGCTTGTAGGCTGGCTTGCAGGAAGTAGTTAGCATCGCTTGGCTAGCAGTGATTGTTGGCGATGCTTAACTCATATTTTTATCGACAACATTTAAAACAAAAACGAACAAATATGGAAACCAAAACTTAGAAATAGGGCTTTCGACTCATATTCTCTACGAGTTTTGATATGTATATGTTTTGCAGGACAATACGTGAAAATATACTAAAATGCGCAACCGAGAAGACGCATTCAAGCAAAACACAAAGCAAAGCCCATCCAACTCCATTTCTGGGCAGAACACCAGCGTGGTAGGGGTCCAGGCCCAGCCAAAAGCCCACACACCGAGGGTGGTGGCCAGGCGAGCAGCCCAGGGTGCGGCCGCACCCATGGTGCGCCTGCACTGCCCCTAGCTCAGCCTGGCCCCACCTTGCTCAGGCGGTGCATTCAATGCACCAGGAGGTCGGTTGCATGGGTGCTTACCAAAAAAACTTCACCAAACCGATCTCCTCAAGCTATATAAGAAGACCCCCTCCTCATTCCATTGATCATCATACACTTGGAGAAGAAGAGCAAGAGCACCTACATTTCTATTAGCTTCTAACTAGACTAGAATAGGGAGTGAGTGAGGAAAGAGTGAGAGGAATAGCGGAGTAACGGTTCCCTCTACTTCTTGTACTCGGCAAGCCTTGTACATCGGGTGGACGGAGTGCCGGACTTATTGTCTCCCTCCTCTACACTTGTACCTCTACGTTTGTCTTGCTACTTGGAGTAAGACATTCGTGTTCATCTTTTGATTTCGAGTTCTTAAGGAAGTTATGTTTGTTCTTACAAGCTTGCGGGTTCGCCATTCGTCCCTAGGGCGAATACTCTAGTAGGGAACTTCTGATAAAGATGGAAGTTTCTAGCCAACACTAGAGTAGTGATCGATAGCGTAGACGTGGTGTCTAAGCTAGAAGTCACCTTCGTTTGCCTTGTATCCTCCAATTGAGGGGTAGACGGCAGGTGGTGACAGTCCTGTCCATCCTTTGTAACCCCCACGTTCGGATATGGCGTAGAGCTGTAGGTCGGTATCACTTAGCAACCAAGTGTAAGTCGTTGCCCGAAGTAAGCTTATAGTAGCAAAGTTACCTTCTCTGAGGTTCTTTGATCTTTAGAAGAACCTCACTACCCGAGTTATCCTTCCTCTTGTTCTCTTGGACAAACTAGCTAAAAGACTACTTACACCCCCGTTCCTCGTGGAAATACGATACCCTGAATACCACCGGGTGAAATGCTATAACGATACTTCCATGCGCTTGTGGGCTTTTTTTGCTTACGCTAAGAAGCACCAACAAGCATTTTTGGCACCGTTGCTAGGGAGACGGTTGTCGTTTTAGTCTTCGAACCTAGTTTACCCATGTATCCTTTGTTTTTACCTTTCTTTTCTTTTTACCCTTTTTCAATGGAGCAACCTACCATTCAAAACCTTTCTGCTCCCAAGGGCGACTTCGTAGAACCACCATAATCATCGAAGCCAATCACAGCTTCTAGTTACGAACTCCGCCCTGGCTTTATAGCCATGGTTCGAGAACAAACCTTCTTGGGGTTGGATTATGAAAACCCCTACCATCATCTATGGGAGTTTGAGCAGCTATGTGCTTGCCTAACCATTTCAGGCATGTCACAAGAAACACTTTAGTGGAAGTTGTTTTCTTTCTCACTTGATGAGAGGGCGAAACAATGGTACGCCCACAACGTAGGGAAGGTAGCTGGCGATTGGGAAGAACTAAGGAACATATTCTATCTTGTGTTCTTCCCTATATCCCGAATTGCTGCCTTATGATAAGAGATCCTCAACTTTCAACAAAAAGAGAAGAAAACCATAGGTGCAGCCTAGGACAGATTCTCAATTTTAACAAGATCTGGTCCAGACTTGTCTATTCCCAACCATGTGCTTCTACAACACTTCTGGTTAGGGCTTAGCAAGGAATCTGCCCTATAGCTCGATATAGCTGTCGGAGGTTTGTTTACCCATAAAACCACGGTGGAAGGAGAAGCTCTCCTAGACC